GTGTGTGTTTTTTTTTTATTTATTCTATATTATATTCTTTACTATTTATTTATAGTTTTGATAATAGATGAATGAGTTATGGTTTTATCAATCGAATATCAAAGTTCGTATTAGTTAGTATCATCATTATGAATAGTGTTGGTAGATACGTGTGTATGTAGTATAATACATATAAAACATTTTTAGTACGCGACCGAACGGTAAATTACTTTATAATTACGGTGCAATTAAGTGTCGGCATTTAACGTTCCACCGCTCCGGTAATTAAGCCGTCGAAAAATAAATGAAATAAATGATCGCTTAATGGTGGGTGCTACATTTTTCTAGCACAGGCTAGAAAATATTGTGTCGTTTAACCTCTTTTCTTTACCTATTACTTTGTCCAAATTTTTCTTTTTTTCTTTTCTCTTTCCTTTACATTTTATTTCTATTTATTTATTTATTCATTCATTCATTCATTCATTCATTCATTCATTCATACAAATTATCATTTATTTTTCTAATCGAAATACTTCTACCTATTATAAATAAAATATTTATATTTTATATATGAGTTTCAAAGGGAAATTAAAGACAGTTAATAAATTTGATGAACAATTTATTATGACCTTGTTGAACGTCTCGTCCCTTACTGGGGACTTCATCAGCAACTAAAAATTTTTATTGACTTTTTAATAAATATAAACATTACAATAAATTCTAATTTTTACCTTGATCAATTTAGTTCACGCGTCAATACATATTATCTTTTTTACAGAGTCATACATTTCAATAAAACTTAACATATTACAATACAATTTGATCATAAAACACCTTATCTTATCACACGTAATCCTATACTGAATTCTATCTAGACTAGTGTTTAATAATCTAGGTATCTTTGTAAATTTTTAAAAAAATTTGTAGTTGCTGAGGAAGTCCCTAGTAAGGGACGAAACGTTCAACAAGGTCATAATAAATTATTTATCAAATTTATTAACTGTCTTTAATTTCCCTTTGAAACTCATATATATTAATATACTGTTGGGACAAGAATATTGATAATTAAATTTATATTTTATTTTCTATAGAAAATATTTTCCTTCTTTTATTTTTATAAGATTTTGTTAAACTTATATAATTATCATAAAAATTATATATTTCTCATTGTGTGTATAATATTCAATTAGTTAATAAAACAACAGGAGTTTTTAAATAAATAAATAAATGTTCAATATAAATGGGATAATTAATTAACCAAACTCGTATAAACAAAAATATATATATAGAATAATATATATGAATATAGAAATTAAAATCGAATTAAATAAAATTTTTCTAATGAATTACTTTTACCTTTTTTCTTTTTTCTTTTTCGGTTAATTATTCTAGGCGGAAGATCTCCTGGACGATATCCTGTCGTTCGAGGCTGGATCCTTGGGCGATGGATTAAAGGATAATCATGGGGGTAGTCTTTCAAATTTACCGGATCTTCAAATTAAACCAGAACCACTTTTGTTAACCGAAGCGGAGATCCATGCATTGGCAAAGGATCGACAGAAAAAGGATAATCATAATATGAGTAAGTTTTATTCATTATTATAATTCATTTCTAATCAATTTTTTTTTCTTCTTCTTCTTCTTATTCTAATATAACGTCAGAGAGAGAGAGAGAGAGAGAGAGAGAGAGAGAGAGAGAGAGAAGAATAAATTAATTATTATTAAAAAAAAAAAAACTCACACGTGTGTGCAATATTTCGATTTTCACTATTGTTACGTAAAAATATTCAATAATATATGAGCCGTTTATTTTGAAAGTGGCCTAACTCCATTTGTCAATTATTTCCGATTACGCATGGTTACATGTAGAACTTTAAATTATCTATCAATAAAGCATTTAATATTATTTATATTCCGAGTAAATACGATAATTCTGGACACATAAGTTTTCAGAGTTAGTTGAATAACTGAGCCGTTTATTTTGAAAGTGGCCTAAGTTCATTTACAYTTAAATTATTGCTACTTCAGTAGCATATTATAAACGCAATATAACAAAAGCGTTAATAATAATTTATTGTTTGTCTCCCGAGATTATTACAATATTATCGAAAAGTGTCAACAAGGTAATAACTTTATTGTACATGAAATGTGACAAGCAGATTTTGTACCAACAAAATTATTACAAGACGCAATTTTTTAAAGGGTCAAGAATTTTAACGGAGAACCAGTAAACTGGTTTAAAATATGTTCGATGCGTTTTGTCAAAAATGAACCATATCAAATTTTCTATAAGACATCAATGAATGAGAACGAAAATTGTAAAGTCTTGAATTTATTACCACGTTGGGGTAGAACAAGAAAGTTCGAAAATATTGTATTGACATATCACTGTATAAAAATATCAGACAAATTACAACCGCAAATTTCAAGGAAATAATTGACTTATTACGATATATATCACCGGAACATCACGATTTCTTTAAATCCCTTTTACATACACAAAATGTAGATGAGTAGAAAATTGTTTTGTAATTTATATTTGTACAAAATATTTTGAATCGCATAATTTATGTTTTTAAAGTGTTATAAACATATGTAAAATAAAATGAGTATTGTTTTTTTCAATTTAAAACATCTTAAATTATGTTTAATGGACTTCGGTTCCTTCAAATTTAATAACGAATCTGGTTGTTCATTTTGAAAATGGCCTAACTCCATTCTTGGTAAGAAAACGCATATTATTCACTTAATAATTGACATTATTTTAATAGGAACTGTAAATTTAACACCTTTAGATACACTTAAGCAGCATAACTCATTGATATTCTGTACGTATATTTTTAAATTCATTCAAACGCAAAACTTTAAATATCTCGATTTGAAGGTAAATGGAGTTAGGCCATTTTCAAAATAAGCGGATCATATTTTAGAATTACTAACTAACTTACAATAGTTGTTAGGAAAAAACCAATTACATTTACCAGAATTTTCATGGATATGGCAATGGGGGAGGGAATGAGGGGGCGGGGGGGATGTAAATCACATGCTATTCGCATAAAATACACGTACGTATTCACCCACACCATTATATCCTTTTCTGTCCTCGATTATTCACTCGGAAATTTGCCTCGGGTGTATTCGGTTTTGTACTGATAGGGGGTGGGGGAGGGTTGAAGAAAGAGTAACACGTTTGCAAGCACGAATATTGTGAGATAGTATGAGTAACAAATTTTCAAAGTGTAATATGTATATATGTATTATTACATATTTATATGTGTACACATCACATGTGGTATTAAGAAGAACAAACGAACGAACGAAAGAATTTTTATTGTTCGTTTTATAATCGACCACAATTATTATTGCATCTATTTCGAGATATACTATTGTTTATTTTAACAAACGATTGTATTCAAATGAAAAAAAAATATCATTTTAAATTGAGATAAAATAAATCGATTTGTTTAATAAAATTCCTGTGTTATTTAATATTAAATTTAAGATAAAATAATATTTAAAATATATATATATATATATTATTTTATCGTTAATATTATATTAAATAATAAATAATTATATCTATCGAAATAAATTCTATTTAATTTTCTTATTTAATACAATATAATCAATACATTGTATTATTTAATACAATATAATCAAAATCGTGGCAATAATTTATTAGTTTTTTTTTTTATAACGAATCATTCGTTGTTATATATTTGTTAGATACAATTATTTTCTTTTTTTTGTTTTTCTTTTTGTTTTGGATTAAAACAAAGGGGTGGCTACGAACGATTTGATAAATTTTGCGAAATTTGTTCGAGTAATCAACGTATAAACTTTGAATTATACGATTTCGTTACGTGCTTTGGTTTTTTTCCTCTTTTTGGAGAGAAAAAGCAATAAGCAATAAAATTTAGAAAATATACGTGGTACGAACGTGTACGTAACGTTGAAAATCACCCCCTTTGGTATTATACACACTTACAAAATCTAGGAGTACCTTTTCTATGTACGTTGATATTATAGTTTGTGTTGAAACGATCCTACCTAGCTACGTGCAACTTGATACCTTATACGTATAGAAATAATTTATGCACTGAGAACACGTCACGCTGTTATTAACTTAATCATCCTGTACCTCGTCAAACGGAATACGCGAGTTACCGTTCATTCCTATATATCTCACTAACTGCATATGTTTCTAACATATATGAGTGTGTGTATATATATATATATTTGTATATAGTACGTGTGTGTATGGTACACGCCCGTTGTGCACGCAGATTAGTCGAAAATAACATTTATTTTATATTTGAATCTACACGAATTATTTTTCTTATATCTATTATAATTTTTTTACTTTTACTTTTTCTTTTTTTTTTTTTTTTTTTTTTT